ATTTTTATTTTGAGTGACTATATTAAATCTAATTCCATCTAATTTAATATCACTAACTTTAAACCTTGCCCTTTCTTTGTCATATCCTAAATATCTATCACCTAACCATAATAAACCATTATGTTCTTGAAAGAAAAAATTTGTATAAAGACCTAACATTTTTAAATTGTCTTTTGGTGCAAATTTATATTCTCCTTTCTCATCAAATCCTAAAATATATTCTACGCCATTTTCTTTAACTGTAAGTTGAAATAATTGAGCACATACTATTTTCATTATACTAAATATTTTTATAATCACCATGTTTGTTTCTACAAATTTCTTTTTATTTTTTATTCTCTGAAACTTGTTTTAAACAAACAGCGTTTTATAATTAAAACGAGATACGTTTAATTAAAGGTGTTTTTATAATAAAATTTTTAAACAGGAAACATGTTAGTTGATAAATTTATAAACATTCTTAATCAGGTTAATTTAGATGGGTTTATCATTCCTATGGAAGACAATCATTTAAATGAATTTATTAGTATAAATGATAATTATATTAAATATTTTACAGGGTTTAATGGAACAGCTGGTAAACTTTTAATTACAAAAAGTAAGATAGGGTTATATTTAGATTCTAGATATTATACAATGGCAGAAAAATTTACAGAAGAAAATAACATAGAACTTATTAAAAGAGGAGAAATAAAACTAGAAGAATTTTTTGAGTCAGAAAATGTAAAGAAAGTGGGTATTTGTCCAATGTTTATAAGTTCAAAAATGTTTGAAGATTTAAAACATTCTTTAGAAGAAAAGCATATTAAATTAATTGAAAGTGATAATATTGCTGATAAGATTTGGATTAACAAGCCTAATAGAGTTCATAAAGGAGCAGTTAAAATTTCTGATGAAAACAGAATAGAGTTAGTTCGAAGTAAACTAATCAAAAATGATGAGATGATAATTATAACAGACTTAGACACAATTGCATGGATTACCAATCTAAGAGGAGGAGATATTGAATTTAATAATATTTTCTATTCTTTCTTAGTTATAAATAAAGAGAAAGCAATTTTATTTATAAATAATTTTAATGAAGAGATTCAAAATATAGAAATCAGAAAATATGATGAGTTTGAAAATTTTCTAAAGGAACTTTCAAATAAAAATGTTTTGATTGATAGGAGAATAAATCAACAATACTATAGTTTGATTAAAAAATACAATAATGTAGAAATTACTGATGAAGTAAAAAAGGAACAATCAATTAAAACAGATGAAGAAATAGATAATTACTTTGATGTGATTAAAAATGATGCTATCGCTTTAATAGAATTATTTGATTATATTACAAAACACGATGAAGATGAAGTGATGATCGAGGAAAGATTAAGGTCAATTAAAGAAAAATTATTTAAAGATTCTGGTTATACTAAAGAATCTTTTCGTTCTATTGTTGCTATAAATTCACCTGACATTCATCATGATAATAACAAGCTTAAAGTATTCAAGAATGGAGATATTGTTTTATTAGATACAGGATCACACTACTTTGTAGAGCAACAGACATTTCTAGAACTATTTCGAAAGGTGAAGTTAATCCTGATATAAAACAAAAATATACTTTAGTTTTAAAAGGGGTCATTCAGAATTACATCACTGAAAATAAAATCGAATCAGGGTGTGATGTTCATGAAAATAGTGAAAGTTTTTTAAAAGAAAACGGATTAAGTTATAGTCATGCTACAGGGCATGGAGTTGGTATTGTTGTTCATGATATGTTTCCACAAATACATGCTAAAGGTAGTATGTTATTTAATAATCAAATATTTACTATTGAACCTGGTTATTATCACGTTGATAAGAATTCGCCTGAAAATGAATACGGGATAAGGATAGAAGACATGGTTTTTTATAAAGATGGCAAAGTTACAAACATGACATGCGTACCTTATCATTTAGATCTGATTGATTTTAAATTACTGAGTAACAAGGAAATTGAATATTTAAATTTGTTTAATAAACAAATAAAGATTTCTTTAAAGGATAAAATTCCAAGCAGTAATGATTATTTTATTAACAATACTAAAGAAATTCCATTAAATATTTAAGAATAGTTAAGTAAATTTTATTTTAATTTATTTCATTTTAAACTTCTAAAAATGATCAAAAAATAAAAAATATATTATACTTTAAAGAAATAATCATTTAAGTATGACTTTTAAAAGTAAAAATATCAAATTTAAATATATAAAGTAATATAAAACAAATTTCAATAAAAAAAAGATAATAAAAGTTTCAATGTTGCTTAATTTTTAACCCATAAAATA